TCTTTGCGAATGCCACAGCAGGACAGATGCGTGCTCCACAGCCTGTAGTCGTCCACCCACGACATCAACGGATTCGAAATGCGATACCTGCACCAACCACATGAGCCACACATGAGATGAAAATCGACACGACGTCGGTGAGTTTAATTTTCCCGACTGAACATCAACGCCTCACGCACAATTAATGCAGAGGAATACGAGAGACAACAAAACAGGGCGAAGATGTAACGGAGGCGCCCCTTTCACTTACTCCTTGCTGGCAATGCTTTGGCGCAGTGTGTTGACAAGCGAGTCCGCATCGCATCCGGGTCGTGAGCAAATCTGGTTCTGTCCGTGGAGGGAATCGAAGGTGTGACCCTCCGTCACCACAAAATACACCGGCGGTCCCACTGCCAGCAGACTGGAAATGGCCTCAAAGTATTCCAACACATACGAGTCCAATGACATGGAGAGCTTTTGGTCCAGCCCGATGCGAATACCGTGCGGGATGATTGCAATGCAAAAGCAGATCCAACCCACGAAGAGGATGAAGAGGAGGGCCCGCACCCACTTGGAGAGAATGAAGGGTGCCAGCACGTGTGCCACAAAACGGTAGAGCCACGGTCGGTCGTTCTTTCCTGCACCGGTGCAAGAGAATGCACAATTACAACTTCTCATTGCACTTCTCTTGCTTTATGTGAGGATGAAGTGTGAGAGCTCACTTTTGTTTTTGCAGCGTCGTTTCGCTAGGCTCCCCGCCTCCGGCATCGAGTCGTCCTCGTCTGTGAGGCTTTCACTTGGCAGCACCATTTCTACACAACAGCAGACGTCCACTCGACTGGCCTGAAGTTGGACGCATAAAAGTACAAATTGCACTGTTGATGATGACGGGGGAAAAGTGGATCGTCTAAAACGCCTGAAATAGTGACGCTCCAGCTCCACCACCACCTCATCAACTTATTTATTCACCACTCATTCAGTCAGTCACATCATAATTGTCCCCGATTGTTCATATCACAGATTCTATACATTCCACACTTAATTTCAGGTGTAGGCCATCACCACCGTCCCCGTCTTAATGCACTGGCCCGAAGTGGCATGAGGGAGAAGGGAAGCAGCAACAATGGTGGTGGCAAGACAGACCAATAGCCCAGCATTCAATGAATGCAAGAGAAGAAATAAGAAGAACCCACGGGCGTGACAAATAAACAACCAAACAAACAGGCGAATCCAATGCGCAGCAGTGCAAACGCGCGTAATCACTCTTGAAGGTCGCCACCACCACCACCACCACCAACGGTAGCAGCGGAGGCAAGTATGGCGCAGAAATCGGACGATTTTTACTCTCAAGGACACACGCTGTCACTTGGCACGTGCCTCACATGCGCTACTGCCACTGCGACCACTGATTGCAGTGATGAGGCGATGGTGGTTGATAATGCGAGTGAGTGAGTGAGGGAGGAGGAGGAGGAGGAGGAGGAAATACTCATTCAACGCGTGAAGGAGGACGCTTTCCAGTCCATCGGACGAGATGAAGACGCTGATTGGGTTCATTTGCCTCTCGCTGGGATTCACGAGAACCCTTTCTCAAGCTCTATGTTAGGCATTTGGAGAAGACTTTTCAGCATCACTTTCCCAACAGCGCAACAAATCGCACTCAAAGCCGTCTATTTTAGAAAGGGTTTGTTCACATTCAGAGAGGGCTAGCATGCCGTCCCCTCCCCAGCGTCATTCCACAAAGCTGCCACAGTCAAGTTAAATACACATCCAACGAAAATATGAATGCCAAGCAGTGTACAACGACTACGCAACTAACCGCAAGTTCCCACGATTTATTGTTCTCCCTCCCTTACACACACAAAACGCCTCCTCGCATGTGCAATCGCCTCACGTGCGATGTGATGCGTGCCGACGGATGTCAAATTTGTGGGACTGCTGCTGCGCCTTGCAACGGAGGAATGCTAACATCTTTGCCATCACAATGCAAAGATTGGCACAGTTAAGCGAATTCGTTGTTGACGTCGTTGTTGGTGTTGTAACTTGAGGGGATTGAAAAGGGCACGAGAGCAAGCGCCCCAAGGTGAACTGCAACAACCACCCGGAGGGTTGGCACGCACACAAAACAAGCACCGAAATAGGGCCAAATGACAGTTCTTGCTGGCGTGCTTCCCTCCACCTCTTAATGGGTGCTACGTTGCACACTTTCCTTCCACAAACCTCATTTGCACAAAGGCGTGTGTGCAGCATTCGAACAACACACAATGCACAATCACTCTTCTCTCCACCGCTTGGCCACGCCAACTCTCTACTCAACTCCACACATCAACTCCCTCCGCCGCATTCTCTTGTTACATACGTGACTACCAAAGAACCGCCGTGTTGCGATTGCCATCCAATGTTTACTTCCTCACGCCTCTGTGATGTGTACATTTTCTTGTCTTGCACTCACGTGAGACTGGCATCCACTCCATCCACTCCCAATTGAACTGACAGGACGTAGGCGCTAACCTCGCACAACTGAACAGACCACTCCTCAGCGAGAGAAAGGTGGGCATGAGTGGTAGGAAGGAGCGCAACAAAGACTGATGCCATTATGCCACGAGAGGCAAACAAGTGTGGCGGCTGACCTCCCCTCGCATGAGATGGGCGTATCTAAATGCTGCAGATAACTTCATTATTTCACCACTTTCCATTTTGGCGCTTTACGGATGAAGGAATGCGACTGCCTAAATCACCTCAGGTAATGCGCCTAACTCATAATCACAGATGTGGAATTGCTGAGTCAGGAGGTCTAAACATGCTACTGTTTCGACGCTTGGTTAAGCTACAGGTGAGGAAAAAAGAGAATGCAGGAGAGGAAGAAATGAAGAGACGGAAGGAGGGAGAGCGCGAGTAGGAGGAGTACAAGCTTTAATTGTACGACACCCAGCTACTGACTGCTGCGCCATTAGCGCAAGCAGTAACAATGCGTAAAGTAGTGCTTTTGTAACACTTGCGCCTATTTGACGTCGCTGAAATTGCCTC